GCGAACCACCAACATTATTTCTTTTACATTTGGAGCTTAAATTGGAAGAAAAACGTGTGATTATGAGATGCTCGTAACAGAAAATAATACTGATATTGACTCAGGTAGTGAATCTAAAATTTCTTTAAATGATTCTGGAAGTAATGAAAGTTTGTTATCGGACTTCTCGTGTGGTGTAGATAGAATGGATCAGAATCTCACAAATTACTCCCCCCAAAAAAAAAGTCAAGAAATAATACAAAAAATATACTTCCATCTTTTAGATACATTATTGTAGAATGCTTTCGTTTTATATTAGAAACTGGGAGGAAAATTATCTCTTTTGAATTTCAGGCTTGATATTATAGATCACCTTATTGATAGACATGGGGCAGTAAATGAGGGGAAAAAAACCCCCAGGAATTTTACTCAGTCCCTTGCGATTGACAAAAAAATTTTTTTAGAAGTAATTCCTCCCACCGACAAAACATTGATACCAACAAAGCAATGTTTTGTGTGTTGTTCGAAAAGAAATGATTTTGGAAAACGGATGAAAAAAAAAAAGAAATACAATAATTTTGTCCAGATTGCGATATTGGACTATGCTTGTCACCTTCTTTTAATATATTTACCACACAAAAACAGAATTTTAAGATAATAACTAACTGTAAGTACAATATTATCTTTTTAAAACTAATATACACTGAGGAACATTGAAAATAGCGACCCAAGAAGGAAGCTAAGTACAATCGCGAAACTTTGCAAATAAGTACAGCGTAATGTGATATGCAAATGATCCAAGTTTTGTGCCAATACGCATGCTCATACACGCCGAGGTGGCGTTACAATCAGGAAGAGGGTGCTATATAAGCCACCGCAAATTCGAAGATTCATAAACGTGACGATTACCCGCCGATTGTAGGAAGACTTTGGTAAGCGAAACATGCCAGGTAAACGTGCTAGAAGACATTTCTCACAGTTAAGCGAGTTTGAGAGAGGCCTGATCATCGGAATGAAAACTGCAGGCTGGTCGACGCGCCGTGTTACTGGCCAGGTGGATCGTTCGGAGTGTGCCGTTAGAAATTGTTGGGAGCAGTGGACACGAGAAGGTACCCACGCGCGGAAAACCGGGTCTGGAGCGACCAGGAAGACCACGAGGAGAGAGAATCGAGGGATCGTGCGGCAGGCACTTGAGGACCCCACAGTGACTCGTTCAACGATACGAGCAAACGTAGGCGTAGCAATTGTTCCACAAACAATTTCCAGACACCTTGCAGAAGCAAATCTTAAATCCAAGCGCCCTTTCCGTGCAATCCCTTTAACACCGGAACATCGGCAACTGCGTCTACAGTGGTGCCAAGTAAGATCAATGTGGAACGTCACAGATAGGTAAAAGGTTGTGTTTAGTGATGAATCCAGGTTTGTTTTGGGGACAGATGATAACCGTGTACGGGTGTGGAGGCACCCTGGTGAGCGGTACAATTCCCTCCACACTGTTCTACGTCACACTGCCCGCACAGCTGGTGTAATGGTCTGGGGGCCATAGCCTATGATAGCCGGTCCACTTTAATTGTGATGCGTGGAACCTTAACGTGACAACGTTACGTTGATGATATTCTTCGACCCCATGTAGGACCTATCCTAAATGGTCTTCCAGGGGCAATTTTCCAGCAAGGTAATGCTCGTCCGCATACAGCAAGAGTTGCTCAAGACTTCCTACGTCATTTTCAGACTCTTCCATGGCCGGCCCGCTCCCCGATTTGTCCTCTGTAGAGCACGTGTGAGATCAGCTAAAACGGCAGATGCCATCGTGTCACTCTGTACATGATTTAGAGTTGGCTGTTCAAGATTTGGGGGCCCATCTGCCTCAGGTCAACATAAGGTGTCTAATCAACTCAATGTAGGACCATGTGGCGGCATGTATTGCAGCTGGAGGTGGTCCAAGACGCTATTGAAGTTGCCCAGTATTTGTGTCGTTGCACACCTTGTATTCGTTTATTTGTCTTGTTTTTGAGATCAAGTGAATCTCTCATCTGTGTCATTATGTGTATTAAATTTCATTTCAATCCGATGCTTTCTTCTTGGGTCGCTATTTTCAATGTTCCTGAGTGTACATTTTTGTAAAGTGTGTTTTTGAAGTAGCTTATATACTTCTTCGGATAAAAGCCAACTTTAAGGAAAAATATGTTTTTTTAATGAAAATAAAAATTAATACAACTCTTTAAATTCAATATTTATAACATTTCTAACTGCTTGTTCGAGTTTATATAATTGATTTCAACTTAAAATGTTTATAAAATATATGGTTATTTTTTGACATAACATGACAGGAAAAAAAACTGTTAAGTGGTTAAAGTAAAATATATATATTTTTATGTAATAAACAAAATAGCATTTTTGTATTGTTTTCATTTCATGCAAAACGTTTTTAAAGTAATTCCATTCAGTTATTTTTTAGTAAAAAAAAGTTTTATGCAGCAACGTTAGTTATTTCTGTAACACAATTTAAAGTTTTCACTTTAAAAAAAACATAATGATTTAAATGTCTTTCTAGTAGCAATTTGCCTTTTTCATCATTCATAATTCAGTCGGATAGAATGTACATCAAAAGACTAAATTTATCTTTTTATTGTATTAATATAAATATAAATCGTCTAATTTATAATAAAATTTTGCAATTTTAATAAATGATTCTAATTCAGATTCGATCGCCAAATAAATTAATACCTTCCTGAGTTTTCTTCTCAAAACCAATCTACATTCAAAATGGGTGATTTACATTAAATAAATTGTATATTTGATTTATTAAGAGTATGCATAATTAGTTGAAAGGACATTAAGAAGTAACTCAAAAACTTAAGAGGAAAAGTGAGACCACATACGTCTTGACAATTCGTAATTTAAACATATTAATTAGAATAGGACTTTAATCTCTTAATAATTAAAACACAACTAAAAAGAACTTAGACATTAAAGTATTTGAATATAATTTTCTTGTTTAAATCGAATCTAGATTGTGTTAAGGCTGAATGGTTATTGGTTATGGATTCCTAATTTTTACTCATGGTTATGAAAGGAGATGGACATCTGGCCAGGTACCCGATCCTTTAAGAACTTTGGAACCTAATGAAATTACTAGGAAATGTGCCTAATTTATCATCAATATGGTCTTAAAAGACTTAGATTAAACAATCTCTTTGGTGAAATTTTTTGAGAGCTTTTTCAACCCTGAACAGGGCATCACTAGGTTACCAAGGTCCGTCATGAAATGCTTTAAACTTGTCATACAAATTTGAATTTTAAAAAATGTAGCTTATTTATTTCACCGCTAAATTTTTTAATGATTAGCCATTTCTACATTAAAATAACATATAAAATATTAAATTCTTTTTTTCAAAAAAAATATGTATAAAAATGTTATGAAATGTACATTTTTACCGATGTAGGGATTAATATGGGTTTATTACATTTAAATATTAATTAATCAATACATTAAATCCGAAAATATTTGACTATTATTTTTCAATCTCTTTTTCACACGAAGTTCACTCAGAACAAGATATGGAATTAGTGTCATAATGGAAAATATTAGGTTACCCCCCCTGCAAAGTCAGGCTTTAGGTCCCAAGCCGGATCTTACAAAGGAGTGTAAAACAATAACATAACATAGGCTTTGGGCCTCCTAGAATCCTGAGGCCTCCCGCGACGTGGGGGTTGCGGGGATGTACTTTATGCCACTGTATGGAATAAATTATGAAGTTTTTTTAAAGGGAGGAAGCTGACAAAATTGTTTAAACTTATTTGATAATGCAGCAAATTATATCTTGGAGGATGAAGCATATACTATGTATAATTATACCATCTTCGACAGCTTTGGAGATATCTAAAGCTTCCTTTTTATCAATCTACACAACATGGACACGCCAACAACAACAATTATACCACCTTTTTTGGCATATTTTAAAGCTTTTGATAAAACGAATGAATTATATCTTTATTTATTTAGAAATAACTGGTATTTATTACGAAATTAATATTTTTAAAAATATAATATTAACCTTTGCATAACGAATAAATAAAATAATTTTTAAAAGGAGTTTGTTTGAAATCACATTGTTAAGAATATTGATGAAAGATAAGTCAGACTGTAGAATCTTATACATTGGGGATTTTTAATAATTTTTAACGAATATATATGAGATAAATCACATTGCACTCCCTTTCATGAGGATTGCGCAGGATAACATATATAATAAGAGGGAAAATAATTTTAAAACCTTAGAAAATTCTTCAAATGTTTTTGGGAAAAACTTTGTATTACCTGATAGTTCAAAAATATGTATGGATGCGAGATTCTTTCTTATTTTCGTCGTTCCATTTAACATGATTTTGTTTTTCTTATCGATTCTATATTTTCCAGAGAGGCGATGTTTTTTTCCTGAAATTGTTTATGCAATCATTGAGAGCTAGAATGTATTACATTCTCTTATTTTACATTTTATGTGGTCCTTTGATGTAATTAGGAGTAGAAGATAACTGACATTACACTTTAAGATTTATGTGTGGACAGTAGATCGAACTGCATGCTCTTCTTTAGTAAAATATACGGATTTTAACTTGACATGTGTTCAATCTGTATCTAGGACTAATTGTTAGGTCATGAACCAATTTCGCTGCAATTTGCATTTCCTTCCCATTGATTTTTATCTCGCTTATCTCAAGTGAAGCTTATTTTTTAATTCCTACTATTAGTTCACACTCTCCCTTTATATATATATATATATATATATATATATATATATATATATATATATTGTTAAAATTTTCAATCGTTAATAAAATACTTTTTGTTCATCCACTCATGTTCAAATACATTTTTTAAAACTTGTAGTGGATGGCACTTGTTATTAATACAGTTTTTTCAAATATTAATTCACTAAGTCTATTTAATTAATGAGTAAATAGAAACAAAACAAAATAATATTTCAACACCATTTATAAAAAGGAAAATCGCTCGGTGTGTCCCGGTAGCGCAATGGATAGCGCGTTGGACTTCTGATCCAAAGGTCAGAAGTCCAAGGTCGTGGGTTCGAATCCCACCTGGGATGGCCTAATATCTGCGAATGTGGTTTCATTTTTATTATACTATCTTATTAGAATAATTAATTCAATTAATGAATAAATAGTACAAACAAAAAATAGTCCAACATCCTATATAGAAAGGAAAATGGAAAATCGCTTTCTATTTTGTCACTTAATATTATGATTCTGTCACATGCATATACATGTTTATATTAATTGTAAATATTTAATAAAAAAAGTAACTAAAATAAAATTTTTCTTTGTAGGAAATGACTTAAATTTAGTAGGAAGTAGGAATTAACTTAAAATTTTTTTATATTACTTCTTTTTATAGTACATTTTAAGTTGAAAATTTTGCAAATTAATCAAACGAATAAAAGAAGAATTATTTGGTTTTTACTTGTCTTTTGTGAATATTAAGCTTCTTAAATTTTTGGACCAAATTATGTTACGCATATATATATAAGGCTAACTCTCACTTATGCTTGTATTTCAATCCATTACTCGTACACAATTGCGTAATAAATAAAAGAATAAAATTATTCTAGATTTTAGCAAAAGAAAGTGTGTTTTATTTAAATTTTTAAATATTACATTTTACACTTAAATGAATTTATATCCTAAAAATGATACCCTTTACATTTTTTTGACACAATGAACAAAATAACTTCCCCCAAATTTATTTTAAGAATGAAGCCGCAAACAAGTTCTATTTTATAACAATTATTAGTAACAATTTTAGTTTATATAAATGGAAACAGATTTTAATTAATTTTATTCAGGTCAGGGAAAAAATAAGCTTAAAAAAATCGTTTGGTAAAAAAGATAGAATAAAAACAATGAATTCAACACATTCACTTGTTAATCTCCGTCACAACGATCTGAATCCATCGCGTCGGAGACCATGGAAATGATAAACTTGGTCTCACTTTTCGCTTTCATTAATGAGGTTTCTACATATTCGCTATTTTTACCGATTTTATTAATTTCTAGATCATTAGGTCAAGGCTTCACACCAGTCATTTTGTTCCCCAGTGATTTATTTGTACACGCTTTTGACGTGTGCGTGCTGAGAATATATGGTTGCTCCACTAAAAAGTAAAGTGGACACTTTTGGAATGCATAAGAATGGAGATGTAGGTCTACTTTCTAAGCTACTTTAGAATGAATAACATATCAAAAAAGAAAAAGATATCGGAAAACAATTTTATTTGCATACGGAAAAATGTACTCAAAGGACAAAATCCTAAACTTAAAATTGCCAAATCAAAATATATATAAAAAAATGGAAAATACTTTTTCAAAATAAAAAAAAAATTCCTATTTTTTTGTTATTAAATTTTAAATTACAAATATTATTCATAAACTTAAATTATTGTAAATTTATTTTACTATTTATTTTCAGTTCCTAATAATAATTTTAACATTTTTTTTTTTAAAAAGTTTACATTTATCTAATTATTTTGACTTCTGACAAATTTTCGGCTAAACAATTTCTAGAATGACATGGCATTTTTTATGAACATTTATATGTTACAATATACTACTTATTCAATAAATGTTCATAAACGTAATTTTTATATACTTTATGGCCAAAAGTCACCAGACACTTCGTGTTTTAGATATTTCTCTAATTTTTATAGAGACATTTGACGAAATGTGTTATAACATTGTACACATATAAAGAACATACTCAAAACGCACTCTTTCTAGTATAACTTCAATGATTTGAACATTTAGAGGATCAACAACAAGTCGAAAAAGAAAAAAACAAGTCTGATTTTCCTGTATCATTAAAGTCTGGAAATAATTTGTCACTTTCACAAAATATTTAATAGCCTATTTTAGCATTTGTGTATGATTTTTTATTAAAATAGTAATTGAATTCATGGGGTGATATCGTTATTTTTTTTTCAAAAATTCTGAATGTTTTTTGTTTATAATACCCAACACTTGCGATCAAATATGTTATGGTACTTATTCAACACTATTGACAACAAAGTAGAGAAAAGGGAAAAAAATTCAAAAATAAAATCCAATATATTCAAAATGAAAAATATTGACATAATAACGCATATAAAATTTTTTAAAGTTAATTCCTACTTAATTCAACATAGAAAATTTTATTTTAGTTACTTTTTATTACATAGTTACAATTACTATAAATATGTATATATACATATGGCAGAATCACAATATTAAGTGACAAAATAGAATGCAATTTTCCATTTTTCTTCCTATATATGGTGTTGGACTATTTTGTTTGTTTGTTACTATTTAGTAATTAATTAAATTTAATTATTGTAATAAAACAATATGGTAAAAAAGAAATACCATCCTCAGAAATTAAGCCATCCCAGGCGGGATTCGAACCCATTACCGGATTAGAAGTCCAACGCTCTACCCATTGCGCTACAAGGACACAACAAATGAATTTAAGTTCTATATGTCGTGTTGGACTATTATTTTGTTTGTTACTAATTATTCATCAATTAATGAGTTAGTGTTTGAAAAAACTGTATTAACATCAAGTGTCATCCACTACAAGTTTTAAAAATGTATTTGAATTTGAATGCATGAATAGAAAGTATTTTATTAACGATTGAAAATTTACACAAGAATTATATATATATATATATAGGAGAGAGAGTGAACTAAAATTAGGAATTGAAAAAATACTGTAATTTTCTATTAGTAAAAGTTTTCTCTTAAGTAATGTGATCTTATGAAAAGTTACTTTAAATTGAGTTCATGTATCGTATAGTGAATTAAGTGAAAATATAGAAGTATGACGATATAATTCGCTTCAGTTTCATATTATTTTCTTTTCTTTATGTGATTGCTTAGAGCAAGCAACTTTAAAAAAAATTCTTTTATTACTATTTTAGTAATAATTTAGCATTGTATTCTAAATTATTTGTATTAACTCTTTTACGATTCTTTACGATGAAGAACATAACTGTTTTTCATTTCCCTCCAAGCCTTATAACGATTACAGAACTTTAGACGGAAATGGCCTAATAGCTTTTTCTGGTAACAAAATTTTTTTTTACGGCTCTTATGGTTCTTTATTCCATTGATAGGTACTCGCGATACCCATTAGTACTTACTATTAATCGTCTTGAGTAACTACTGATCAGGTGTTTCTTCTTTTTAATGCCATTTATATTATACGAAGTATAGTATTTTCCCCAATTTAACGATTTACCATCATTTCATAGCTCAGTTAGGGAAAAAATGTTGAACAGTTTTCACTCTTTGATAAAGTATCTTAATGGATTACATATTTATGAAATTTTGACGGTTTTTTTCTTCGTGACAAGTATTGTTTGAATGAAAATATTAAAAGTTTTTGTTCTTAACCTTTTAAGTGGTCAGTTTTTTCTGTCCAAAATGTTTAAAAAAGGGCACATTTTTTATTGCATATAATTAAGCATAATACTAACATAATGAGAAAATGGAAGAATTCTATTTTAATTTTCAATTTTAAAGTTCAAACTATTTTTTAATTTATAATTGTGGAACATAAAAATCCCCCAAATGTTTGCTTTTTAAAAGTACACTCTGCATGCTATAAAGAATGTTTCATATATTTTAAAAGAATTTCTCTCATAATTACAAAAAATTTCGTGTTTATCATTGCAATGGGGACAAAGATAATATTGGCTTTTTTTGGATTATCTATATCCATTTTCATTTCTTCTCAAGCGACAAATTACTCATTGCCTTGCCAATCCATATTCTTTATTGAATATTTTCAAGAATCTAAATTATTGCCTTCAATGAAAATTTTCCACTTTCTCCACAAAGAAAATCCCGGATGAGAAATAGTTCAGTAACATGGACGAATTGCGTCTCTTAAAAACATTAGTACTAATAATTTCACAATAAGAATGAAAAATATATGCAAATAAAAGATAGAAAGGGGAAAATATCAGTACCAGTACAGCGTACAGGCAAACCAGTTAAAAGGTTAAAGATATTTGGGGCCATCAAAAAATATTACCGGGATTACAAAATTGGTTTATGCGTAATAATAAATATATATGCACTTAAATTGTTACTGCAATTCTAACGGTCAACCCAAAGCCTGACTGTCAAATTCCGAGGGTATCATACTCGACAGATTGCCACTCGAACTCCATCTTAAAATTGGAGCTTTTGCCTGACACTAAGAACTAGGAAATAACTTCGAACTCAAATATTCAAGCAAATGTCGGCTGGGTGGTGTGGTTGGTTTGTCGCTGACCTTCTGTACCCAAGGTTGCGGGTTCGACCCCGGCCCAAGTCGATGGATTGTCATGATGCAGAAAATCGACAGCGGCCATGTCGTATATGTATACGGCATGTAAAAGATCCCTAGGCAAAATTAAAACCTAGTACAAGGTTCACATTCAGAGCTCGGGGGCTTCCCTCTAGGGAGGAAACGGCATCAAAATTACCTGCGGCGATGGTATCTGCCAATATGGGTTCACACTAAAAAGATCTAGGGAGGAAACTGGGCGTCAAAATTACCTGCGGCGATGGTATCCGCCAATATGGCGTCGCACCAAAAAGAGATATCAGCTTTCGGTGAATGTACCAGGTAGATTGATGTGAACTCTGTTAATTACTGTTCATAATCTGCCATTAGAAATACAAAAATATTAAAGTAAATGATTTTATTATAAGTAGAACACCATTACTACACTCAAGGGTTATGAGGAAAATTAACTAATATTTAAGTAATCAAAACTCCCTCTTGTCTCAAATCAGTGAACCAAGAATCTCGGGAGGTGAGGGCAAGATTCTAGGGTGCCCAAGACCTGACCGACCCTATATACGTATTCAAACCAATTGAGGCCCAAAACCTGACTTTACAGGGAACCTCTAATACTCTGTGTTACGCTGTTGTCTCAAATACTTACAGACGTGTAAAATTAAAGCTCCTAAAAGATGACAAAAAAAAAAGAAACGATGACTGTTTACGATGATGCCTCAAGTCAAAATTTCTACAAGATTTATATTCGAGACCTTTCCAAAATGG